GGGTACCTGCGGCCGTGCGGTGCTTGTTCCACATCATGCCCACGTTCTGCCCCAGCGTCTGCGCCAGTGTCACCGCCATGGCCGCCACATTGCCGTACTGCACAGGAGGGACGAGGGAGTCACCGGAGGGACACCCCCCCATCCCCATCCCGCTCTCATGGGCGTCTCGCTGCACCCACCTCGTTGACACCTCCAGCGCGGGCGGGCGAGCAGATGCCCCCCACAAAGGCGGTTCCACTGCGGCTGCTCTGAAACGTCCGACCCCTGCGAGGAAGAGGATGGTGGGGACAGGGACGGCAGCTCCCGGCCCCGGGGAGGTGACGTGGCCGCGACGCTCACGAGAAGAGGTGGACGGTGTCGCTCTGCTCCGCCAGGCCACCGCGCCGGTACTTCACAAACTCGTTCAGGGTCTCCAGGGAGTCTTCCCCCATCCGGATCCGGTCCTCCGAGGCCCACGTCTCCATGGCCACCAGCACGATGCGGGTGTTGAGCTGCTCCTTGTAGATCTGCAGGGGCGAGGGGATGGCACTGGGGATGAAACCCCCTCGCCGGGACAAACCCACCAGCTACCAGCGACAAACCCCTGGGAAACACCCACCACCACCAGAGACAAAGCCATCAGGTGCCAGGGACCAGCCCTCTGGGGACAATCCCACCTGGGGACAACCATCCCACGGACAAACCTACCAGGAACCAGGGATCAACTCCCTGAGCACAAATTCCTCAGGGGCGGGGCAGAACAACCCCCCCCCCCTCTCCCAGTGACAATCCCCCGGGGACAAACCACCAGTGGGATGAGCCCAGCAGGTGCTGCAGACGAAACCCCTGGGGACAAACCCATCAGGTGCCAGGGAAAAAGAAACCCAGTGGGACAAACCCCCTGGGGACAAACCCCTAAGGGACCAGCCCACCAGGTGCTGAGGCCCAGCTCCCTGGGGACAGACCCCACTGGGACAAACCAACCAGGAACCACCAAGGACAAACCCACCAGCTGCTGGGGACAGTCCCCTCAAAGACAAACCCACCAGTGGGACAAACCTCTGGAGAACAGTTGTGTCCCATCCCTGCCACCACCAGGGACAAACCCCCAGGGACCAACCCACCAGGTGCTGGGGACAAACTCCCTGGGGACAACCTCTGCCAGGGACAAACACCCACCCACGGATAAACCCACTGGGCCAAACCCCCCGGGAATGACCCCCCCAGGAGACAAACCTACCAGGGCCAAACCCTCTGGGGACAACCCCATCGCTCCAGGGACAAGCTCCCCAGGGATATCCCCCCCTGGAAATGAACCCCCTAGAGACAAACCCACGGGTGCCAGGGACAACCCCCACCCAGGGACAACCCCTCTCACCATGTCGGCCAGGTTGACCACGGACTTGGCGAAGTTGCTGGTGAGAACCACGGATTTGCGGAGCTGCAGAAACTAGGGGGGGCAGCAGGAGCCAGATTGGGATGGGGCACGGGGGCCACCCTGACCCTTCACCCCACCCCACAGGCCCTGGGACCCCCTGCACTTACCAGCTGATGGTCGTTCACCACCGCCAGCTCGATGTACTTGGTCTCGCTGTGAACCGTGTGCTGGGCTCGGCGTACCTGCCGGCGGGAGCCCATGGCTGAGCCGGCTCCGGCAGGATCCACCCCGGCGCAGGGGCTTTATGACCCCTTAGTGGCCATGAGGGATATTTGGGGAGCATGGAGGGGGAAAGAG